AGCCGTGCTTCTGAAGAATAGCTTTTTTGTCAACACCAGTCAATGCATTTTCTGAACTACACAATTTGATTGTATTTTCCTCATTTGTGAAAAAAGATTCGTAACATTCATTAAACACTGCTTCCCTACATGACATTAGTAATTTTGTACTTCTTGAGGGATCTGAAATAATTTTTTCATAGTCTACTAATGTCTCTATCTTTTGTTTTTGAAGACCCAACACACCTACCACATCATCGAAAACAAAAACCTGAGGATTATTTGAGTCACATATAATTTTAAATCTCACTTATATCAATTATAGGTATAATTTCGTAACCTTCCTCCTGGAGTATCAGGGCTATGTGATGAATCGTTGCTGATTTCCCGGTCCCTGGGGCTCCAACAAATGTCATATAAGGTTGTCCCCTAACTTTGTTCAGCATTTCCAGGAAAGTGTGAGTTTCACTGTAAACGTCATCTTCTACGCTCCATTGCATTAATTGTACCTCGTGAAGATCTAAAATATATTATCCCAAGCTTTAAAGATATGTGAATTAAAAGCAAACAGATACCTCCAAGTGAACATTTTCAATTGGGTGAACTTCTACAGCTGTCAGCGACCATGGAAAAAGAAGTGTGGAAACCATGTTGTGCTAAAATGAAAAAAACTAATACAAAGAAATGATATAATTTGATCAAACAAAATGGTTATTAGATACATTCGATTCTGCATTTCTAATGGTTCAAAACAAAAAAAAAAAAAGAATATCACGTATAAATCTGCACAAAATACGGAATGCCAAAACCAGAATACTACTAAATAAATAAATATAAATATATTCTTTACATATGAACCAGCGTATTTCTGACCCCTTGAAAATATTATCAAATAAGAGGCCCATGGGCCACATCGCTCAACTGAGTAACTTGGATGATGCATTTCTTTACCAGATTAACTTTAGAATCTACACTACCCCAGGAATCGGCCAGGATGCTTCCACATAAGTTTCAGCTTTCCTGGCCCAATGGTTCTTGAGAAGAAAATTTTTAAAGATTGTTTCTATATATTTCTATGTAAAACTTGGGATTCCCTATTGTGGCCCCGACCTACCCCCGGGTGTCATAATTTTAACAATTTATTATTTACACTACCCAAGAATGCTTCAACATAAGTTTCAGCTTTCCTGGCCCAGTGGTTCTTGAGAAGAAGATTTTTAAAGATTTGTTCTATTGCATTCCCTATTGTGGCCCTGACCTACCCCCGGGGGTCATAATTTAACAATTTAATATCTACACTACCCAAGGATGCTTCCACATACGTTTCAACTTTCTTTGCCTAGTGGCTCTTGAGAAGAAATTTTTTAAAGATTTGTTCTATATATTTCTATGTAAAACTTGGATTCCCTATTGTGGCCCCGCCTTACCCCCGGGGTTTATGATTTTAACAATCTAATATTTACACAACCCAAGGATGCTTCCACATAAGTTTCAGCTTTCCTGGCCCAGTGGTTCTTGACACCACCTACCTGAATTTATATTTCTCAATGATGTTCATCGAAATGCTTGGTTGTGTCCTCAAACTGGAATGGTTTTTAGGGGCCTGGAATTCCTAGACTAATATTATTTTATTAGCCCAACTATATTTCTAAGATGGCAAGACTTATGGTATGTAAGTTTCATCAACATATTTTATGTAGTTCATATTAAAAAAACCAAAGGGATAATTGACGATATCCCATTCAGGGTGTTAAAATAGCAGTTTAAATTTCTTTATATACATTGTACAAGATATAAAATATTTTTGCGCATAATACGCTCCACACTGAAGCTATTTTGTAAATGTTCACCCAACCGAAAATGTCCAGTAGACGAAAAGGTCAATGTACATTTATGGTCATTTGAGAATTTTACAGTTTACAGAGAGAGAGAGAGAGAGAGAGTGAGAGAGAGAGAGAGAGAGAATGATGTTCTCTAAAAATACAATCTTCAAGTGATATAATTTATTTTATACTAGTATTCAAATATTTATATCAAAATACATTCTGAAGTTCTTTTACTATGAAAGTATGAAACTGGTAAGCAGGGTTTAATTCTATTCTTCAGCTTGTTGATCTTAGTAGAGTGTTGTATTTTTAAAGCTGTTTATTTTGTATGATTGACGAATTTTTATATAGCATTATTATGTAGTCGTAAAATAGCTTGATAGAGTTACTGTTAGAGTTGAAGTGCCCGACTTAAAATATGTATCATCTTATGTTATCTATTTCAAATTCGTATGATATACAATATTGTCGATTTATGTAAATTTGAATTTATTGTGAAATTGATTGCATATCAAAATAGTCATGTTCAATCTAGATATTGAAGTACTCCAATTTCTTAATTAAATTTTTGACAAAAAAGATTTGTTCTGTTGTTTCAATATCATTCCGACACAGGTACTGATGACAATAGGAATTTGGCGATTTGAAGGATAATTTAGCTTTTAAATAACAATTATGGAATCTAGTTTGCGAAATAAAAAAGGCTTATATAAGTCAAATATAAAAAGATGTAATTTTTTTTTATTCTCAAATGTTCAATTTCTCCTGAATCATTTTAAACTTTGAATCTTTATTAATGGCAAGTATTTCATGTTTTTTTTTCGAAAAAAATTAATCCTTAGAGGATCAACGTTAAAGAATGGGTGGACTTAACTGGAAAGAAGAAGTGCCCGTAAAGAATCTGGGGGGATTAGGCGAGTCATATGCCCACACGGATTTTGTCGCTCTTTGAGCTTATCGGAAATTTCATAGTCGTACGATTTACCCAAACATTTAAACTTTGTACAGCACTGTCCAAATGACACTATCAATATTTTTAAACCTAGCATTTATCGTTAGAGTATCTTTTAACATGTGATGCTTTTCATACTGAGTGTTACTAGTAATTGTTACAGATATGTTTATAGTTAATTATTATTTAATGATACCTTTAGAACTGTTGTTGGTCCTAATAAAAAAAGTTAAGTTATCCATGATTCTTCATACATATTCTATACATACATTTTATTCATGAAAATATATACAAAAGTCAAGAAGTACAGCATGCTTTGCTTTTTATTCTGAATCCTCATCATTGTCCGTCTGGTATTGTCCAGCATCATCGACACTTGATATGTATCTTTCCTTCTTGATTTTGTTGCACTGGTGACGATAAAAACCCAAATACCAGATTACACTGCAGATGTGTGCGCAACACCCTAATGTTCTTGCACCACTCTTGCACTGACAGTACCAAGATGTCACAGCTGATGTAGTGAACCTAATCCAAGGTTATAGAGAGTGCTGCTAGTGTGCCTGGACTGTATTCGGCAGTGAATCAAGTCAGATTCTACATTTGACACATCAATTGTGTATTGGCCAGTTTCATCAATATGTTCTCTTATGTAAGAATTCGCTTGCCGAATTTGATATGTTCCAAAAGTCAGCTGTCTTACATCTTCCTCGGAGAGATCTGGGAAGTTAATCACAGCATCGCGTGCGTCGATACTTTTCCAGAGTTTTGAATTTGTCCGGTATTTGTAAAAGGAATTCTTAGTAACAAGATCTTTCAAGACATTTTCATTGTTCTTTGCCATCATTAACATTTTAAAACCATTATTAATATCATTTTCGTCATTTGTTTTCAAAGGTGGTCTGTATTTGTTAATTAAAGAACACACGATTCTTACAAAGTCACCGATTGAAGGAATGTTTGAGTTGCTGACAACATTATCCAAAAATCGCCATTTTTTAAGTCTGCCATTGGCAGCCTCAACAACCCATCGAATTTTCGTCACCATTCTTGATGTATTTGCTTCCATTGTGCTGTGTTGTTTGCAAGATTTGGGTAGAAAGACTGGCATCTGTGTTTTAAATCTGCATTCATTAAGAAAATCTATCGAATCGCGGAATCCCCTATCTACAACAAGCACATCGTTTTCGGTAAGGAAATCCATTATATTGCCTTTATTTGTATTCATCGCAGTCTTTAATATGGAAGCGTCATTGTTTCGACCATTTGCTAAATAGGGTCCAAAGACCTCCACAATGTAACCGCTGGTTGTTGATATAAGGAACGGTTTTACCAAAGGTCTCCCTTTGTGAACAGAATAGGACAGGCATTGGAACTTGTACGACGCACTTTTTTGTATATATACATAAGTGCCATCTAGCACTAAGATGACAGTGTTTGAAATAGGATCCGAGAAAAGTTGTTTTGAAATATCTGTAGTGTGATTTTCTATTATACTTTCTCTGGTTATATGGTCAAAACCAAGGTTATGGGGCACAAAATCTTTAACGAGTGCTAATCTGGCACTTGTAATGATTTCTGCAACTTGTCTCCTACATCGAAATCCACAGAGAGTGGCCAACAATCCATTAGACAAGCCAGATTTTAATTTGAATAGAAGAACGCCAACTGCATTTCTTATTGTTCGAATTTTCGTATTTCTTAAAGATGTTACATTTGCAACCAAGTCATCGAAATTCGCTTTGGAAATGCCTAATAATGAGATGTAATCATCATTATCAGAAAGTTTATCGAAACTAATACTACTACTATCATATGACTTCAGAGCTTTGAAGCGTACTCGTTCCAGTAAATCATTTAATTCTCTTGATGATAAAACTGAATGTTGTCTCTTATATTTTGTAACGTCAACATTTACATTTTGATTTAATTGTTTCCCAGTTAAATGCTTTCTACAGCATTTGCATCCAACTGGTATAAGTAGTTGGAAATGTACGAAAGCATCTGTCCTTGCCTCACTTGGTACTACCACAATACCCTTTCTTTCATTACAAAATACGCATTTGTTATGCGATTTTCCTGCTGACACAAAAGGAAGTGATATATTAGATCTACTTGTAGAGTTATCTTTAGACGCACACTGTACTGTAGACTTTACATTTACTCTGCATTTGGTACATATTTGACTGTTTTCATGTAGCTGATATCCGTGTTCTGTCAAAAATGTTCTCAGGGATTGGGTGATGGGTCGCTTTACCTTTCCTTTTAATTGTCTTTTGCATACAGAACAGCCATATCGTGCTAGTCTACCCATGATTGTTTACATATCATTCGAGTATTGTAGTCTCGTACTGAATGCATTAAAATGTTATATATCTTGAAAACTTGTTTATTATAGGAAACATATATTTATTGACTGTTAATAAATTCATTATTTCATTTATTTGTTTTTATTTAGTGAAAAAAATATATGTTTATCTAAATTACAACCTGAACTAAAAAAAAAAATAGCATGATTCGAACACTTGCGACAAAACCTCTATGCTTTAAAACCCCCGCTTTGACGACTGAGCCACGCCGTCGCACATACATTTCCCTTTAAATAACAAACGGTTCTATATGTATAGCAAACACACAATTGGACTTAGATTTTTTAAGCATATATTCAGAAATTTCAGTAAGTAAATTAACTTTTTTATATAGAGTGGGTCTTCGTACCATTTTTTTGAAAATGGTGAGAGATACATCCTTCCATACCCTTTCAATATTCGTTTACAAAAAAAAGGTACGAAGACCCACTCTATATAAAAAACACAGTTTTAACATTCAATTTCTATCATTTTTATGGTTTTTAAAGCGTGTTACCATTTTGGTAGAGTAATTACAATCAATTTCTAAGTCATTTGATTCAGGTTTTATCTTTACTGTATGTATATGGTTATAAATAACACCCATATTTAACAAAAAGTAGAATTTGTTAGAATCTTTTAATTGATATTTTACCTGCCCTTGCATAGGCACATGACTCGCCTAATCCCCCCAGATTCTTTAAGTTTCATAAAATATTTTTTTCATCATATAAACCCTCGATATCTTAACTGTATATTAATGGTACGGATGTGAATTTTAAACGCTCTTTTTGAAGTAAAATAGATGAATAACGAAGGCATGGTGCCTGAAAAATTCTTGAATATCAATAGATACTAGTAATCAGGGTCACGCGTTTTACATTGTCTGAATACAAAATCAGCAGCTGTCGGCTATTGTTAAGAAAACTGTTGTGTTGTATATTGAAGAAAAAATGTTATATTAAAAGGAGAAGAGCCGACAAAAGTGTGATCATACTTTATTTAACAACAACATGTTCAAAACAAACTTCTCGCTTCCAGTGAAATGTTTTCGATTGACCTGTTAAATATTACAATTAGTCACGTGATGTCCACCTGCGAGTGTACTCATGAAAACAGTTACACTGTATTCTTCAACCTAACCTCAATCTAAATCATGTCTATGGACGTATTTTGTTAACGTTTTCAGAATATAGCAAATAAAATATTGTTTTAATTTTGCGAGTCATCACATTTTTAAAAATTCTTTCATATTTACATCGCTTTAATAGGCTAAACACCTATTCGAATTTGTGGAAAGGGAGAGGGATAGAGAGAGAGAAAGAGATGTTAACAATGACACCGATCGATAGCCCCGCCTCCTATAAAACTTTATAAACAGAAAACCTATAAATAAATCTGACAACCATATATGCTCTGTAGATTTGTACGTACCCTTAACATTTCGAGGAATGACATGTTGTAGTTTCTTAATTTCATCTGAAAAAAATTTTTTTTTTATTTTTCTTTTTATTCTTTATTAACTAGAGTTTGCAACTGGAACATACAACAAGGTGTCATTAACAAAAGCTTAAAATTGTAAAAGTCAACAGAGTTATACCTAAAATATCAGATGCCAGTATTTTATTCAAATGATCAAACTTATCTGAAACAACAGAAAACCCATAAATTTATAAATGATATTTTTCTTTGTTAAATCTACAGTTATGTATGGTATGCAGATTTGTACGTACCCTTAACATTTGGAAGGACATCTTGCTGTAGTTTCTTAATTTCCTCTGGAAAATATCAGGAGAATTAGTTCTAAAGTTGTCAATTTATGCACTTCTTTATTCAATAGATTTTATAGCTCCAATCTTTGCGTCATTATCTAATCAAATTTAAGGATAATGGAACTTAAATTCATTTACATTATGAATGTATCATTTTAATAATGACAATATACTATAGATTCCTAATTATACACGAGGAATTAATTATCGCGTAATTTCGCGAGAAGCCACTCTCGCGAAATAAAATTATTCGCTTTTATTTTTATGATGCTGAAATCTATGTTAATTGTATTGATCAAGCGTTCATTCTCAAATTATTGTTCTCGCGATTTGACGTAAGAGAGCCGTTGTAACGTTGAATTTTGACCCGGGTTGAAAATTGACCCGGGGGTCATTTTTCAACGTTGAATACTGAGACCAAAAGGTGTTGAATTTAGACCCTAATCCGTTGAAAACTGAGCCGGGTCGTGGAATTTTGATCATGAAACCGGTTCAAAATTCAACAGCATAAAAACACATATTTATGATTGGGTTTTCACTACTGTGATTTAATTCATAGGTATGAGGGCCCGTTTTGGTATTTACTGCAAAAAGTAATATCCCCTATTTGAATATTAAGTGATATCACCTGTTCCAATAGATGATATCACTTATTTGATTTGAATATGTGATATCAACAATTCGAAAAGGTGATACATGTATAACTTATTCGAATTGGTGATATCGAATATTCGATTGGGTGATATCACCTTTTCCCGTCGAACAGCTGTAGTTTTTTTTTTCTTACAAATTAATTTATTTCACTTATATATCATGTATACAACAAGAAAATCGTAGAAAACGCATGAAAACTGGGTTGTCCGAATTTTCTTGATTCCAGTGGTAATCTATATATTATAGGGAGCATTAAGTATTGATTGTTGTAAGAAACTCAAACATGTAATATCACCTATTCGGATAGGTGATGGCAGTTATTCAAATACAGGTGACGCTCGATCTCTCGAAGTTCATGGGACCGCAAGAAAAGTTCGAGGATCGAGAGGTTCGAGAGATAGAAAGTAAATAAAATCCGGAATTTTCAGTTCCGATCATCACAGTTCTACTTTTATAGATACCGGAAGTATATGTAAATAAAGCCATTGCACGTTTTCTATCGTATTTTACAGGTAATATTTACTTGGTATCAACAACAATGATCGTATTTCGACTAAATAAAACGAATTCCTAAAGTTTCAATACTCATTTGTTCTTATTTAATGATTACATGAAATCCGAATAGCAATTGTCGGTTTGACTATTCCGCGGCTTGATCGGGTCCTTCACCTGTTACCCAGTGTTCACAAGACATTTCTTAATCGGTATTTAGTCCTTCAGAAAGGAATTTCTTGTGCAATATTTGCCAGACTGGGATTATGTAGACTCTAATAAAAGTTCATAGCCGATGGGAAATTATAGATTCGACTACATGTTATTTTCTAAAAATTATCGTCTCGTTTTCAAGTCAAAATAAGTTGGGAATTTAAAATCAGTTTATAATTAACCAATAATAATCAATTAATTTTATCAACACACGGATTACCAACATATGAACTGTCATCTATGTAAACACCCAATTAACACCTCAATGCCAAGCCCCAGGCGTTCACTGTTTTCCAGGTAAGTTCAGGGTGCATCAATTTCACGCTTGATTGGCTTGTATACACACGCAATCAAAACTTCGAGAGATAGAGAGTAAAATTCAATGAAATATGTGTAACGGGACCCATGTTTTGGTTCGAGAGATAGAGAACTTCGAGAGATAGAAGTTCGAGAGATCAGGAGTAAATTTGCTTAGTTATATAGAGGAAAAAAATTAGACCGGAGGTTAACTTCGAGAGATCGAGAGCTTCGAGAGATCGGAGTTCGAGCCATCGAGAGTCACCTGTAGGTGATAGCACCTACTAGTATTTAGCAGGAAAAGGTGATATCACCTTTTATTCTAAGCTCTCTGATTGGCTCAAACTTGATCACATGATTAAGTATAACAGCATAAAGACTTGAGGTACTATTTATAAAATCTGAAATGCATATTGACTTCATGTTTTTTTTTTCTTGTGATCATATGCTATACCGCAGGTGTCCTTTTAGAAAATTTCATTAAAGTGAATGACATCAAATAGTATTGATTTATCAATTAAAGATAATACAGAGTATTACATGATGTTTCTGAAAAAAAATACTACAACTTGTATTTTCCGTTATTGATGAGACGTAACAATACTTTAAAGTCTTGAATTAGGATCTACAAATACTTTATATTAAAACATATTGGATATCGTTGTCAAAAATTGATACGAGACATAATCAAATTAGTATTATGAATAACTAAATCCTCTATAATTACTCCATCATTGAATAAAACGAAACACATTTATTTAATATTAAACAGCAATAGCTTAATTTATGCTGATCTCAAGTCTCTAAGTCTTGAAGAGGGAAAACTTGTGCCCATTTCCCATATTTTCAAATTTTGTTTTGTCAATCTATGTGATAAAATGATTCATATTCGATAATAATGTTAAACGTTCCATTCCTATTTAACTGAGTTTACAATTCTAGTTTAATTTGTCATATTTCCCAGAATGCAATCATGGCAATTATTGAAAAAGAATTCAAAAAAAAAATATCGCAGAGATCATAGAGATAAAATTATGTTATATTAAGATGAGAAGTTTATCGAATAGGAATCATATTTTTTCGAATAGAAATGGATGCTAGTATGTTTTCGAACAACAACTTTATTGCATATAAACCAAATAATTATCGAATAAAAAAGATAAAATTATTGAATAGGAATGACAAAATTAGCAACTAGCAACCGATTGTTTTAAATATTAATGACATCGAATAGGAAACGCGTGTTTTCGAGAGAAAAATATGTAAATTTTATGATATATGAATCACATTATCACATTTCCTGTAATTGGAATAGCAATTTATCGAATACAAATTACAAAAATGGAATAGAAGTAACAAGTAATCAAATAGGAATCACATTGTATAAAATAAGAATTTTTTAGAATAAGAATAATCTCATTCTCAAGGCTATGGTCCGAAAGCGATCAATTTTCAAGCCGAGACAGGCTACAGACAAATAAGTTAATTGTTACAGGGATTTCAGCAATTTATTTAAAGTCAGCATTACTTACATCATGCTATGGTCGTTATAATATTGCTCTTCTTCACAAATATAACCTATCATTGGAATCATTTTGGTCGATGTGTTTCATTCTAATTTTTAGGCTATTAATTTTGTTATTTTTATACTGAATTTGACTAGATGGGATGTTCCACCCACCTGATCAATATACATGTATAAAGGGCTTACTTTCTAGATTGCAGATTTTTAAGATTTTTGTTTTATGTCCTATTCGTTGTTTTGTAGTTATTTATGGATGCCATGGATTTTGGAAAGTATTTTCAAAAATAATGTTGTCATGCTTGAAATCGTGCACTGATCAAAATGTACATATATACACGGGGTGATACTGTATGTTTATTTCTATTATTCTTGAAAAGGGAAAAAATTGAAATCAAAATATACATAAAGTTATATTGCATGATAAATCCAGTAAAACAACTTCCCAATTCAAAAAAAAAATGTTCAAACTCTGAGGTGGGGTCAATATTCAACAGGGTCAATTTTCAACGTGTTGAGGTCATCGGAGATAAGGGAAAAAACATATCAAGCTGTTGAAAAATGACCCCGGGTACAAATTCAACGACATTTGGTCTCAATATTCAATGTTGAAAAATGACCCCGGTTCAATATTCAATGTTGAAAAATGACCCCCGGGTCAATTTTCAACTCGGGTCAATATTCAACGTTACACCGTCTCGCGATAATAAGTACTCGCGAAAAAAGGAATCTAATAATCTCGCAGACGATTCTACATCAGACAAATATAATTTATTGTGTTGTGTTTTAAGTGCAAACACGGACATCAATCGGTTAATCATGTGCCATGGAATTAAAAGTATATAGAATTAATTAACAATTAAATTAATTAAAGTTATTTTTTTAAATCGAGGGGCATAAATTATTTACGATAAAATTTAAAGAAATAGAAAATGCAATTAAATATTCATATTTACATAAAGAGCTGAGCAGATTGATATCTAATATATGTTAACGTGATACAACCATTCGAATCAAGTTACTGATATGATAATGTACAATCAGCGATTGGTTTTATGAGTCAAACTACTAGTACACTGTATATATATGAGTGCCGTTTCTTGAGATAAGTATTGGTTGCGTTCGTATATAAAACGGAGTAACTTTGTTTTGAACTTTTCTTCCTAACTTGGAGAGTTCCAGTAAGTTAATGATTTAATTCTTATGTTGACATATATTTTGGGAAAACCAGCTTAAAGTCTTTTTTTGTACATGTTGCATTGAAAGACAAGGATTTCTTTGTTCGATATATGTTCATATCTTGGTTAGGTATACAGTTTTTATCTGGGTGCATCTTGTGGTATACATATTTTTTTATATTTTAGAAATTAGCAATAAATAAGATATGTTACATATGATCTTGAGGAATATATGAGCAGGCCTACATCACAGACACAGAACACAAAAAGATACAAGTTTAGTTAAATATCTACGATCGAAATACGAAGAGGTAAGAAAACGGTTAATCAGGTGACCTTCAAGTAAACTCACCCGAGTGACTCTTAACCGTTTCACACAATTCATCAATAAGTAAAAGTTTATCAATATATTTGGCCTCTTTTTCGGGATCCATGGAACATGTTCTTATATCGTTCACAGCATCTTGGTAAACAGTGGAGGTTCCATAGTGTCTTTCTAACTCAACAGTAATATTGTAAATGTTTTGCCATTCCTTTATGAAGTTTGATTCTTTGAGAGAGAAATCTGCTGCATGTCCATAGTACTTGTTTCTTATCAGTCTGATTCTCTCTATGTTGGCAGATACACTATTGTCCGTAGGATCGGGTTCTTTTCCCCATCCCTTATTGTGTGGAGTTATTTTACACACGTTACGTAGGAGAATGTACAGTAAACTTATGTCCAAATCTGAATAATCCCCGCCATATTGTTTGGTTGGAAGGGGGAATATGAGATCAACTTGTTGTTTATTTAAAGGATTTTTTAATTTCTTCTTTTTTAGATCATCAATCCAAGTTTTGACAGTTTTCGATAAAATGGAAGGCGAGATTTTCCCTCTTAGAATATCACGCAGCAGATCTGTGCATGGACCAAGGATCAGTCTTGCTACCCGGGCAAGGTTAGAAGTTTCTGAAGTAGACTTGTATCTATGTAGCGATGTTTTGGATTTGACATTTCTCATCATTTGAAAGAACTGTAAATGAATAATCATAAAAATCATTCTTATATATTTTACCATCCCTTCTTATGAATGTTTATGTAAAACAAAATTTGAACAATTTTTTTTGTATTAAATAATATCTTCGATCATAGTGAGAGCACAAAAATGATCCTAAAACCCAGATCTTTTTTCTGTTTTCAGACAATTTTGTTGCTACTCACTTTTTTAAAATCTTTTTTTTTATCGTATCTTTTCATTTTCTTTCTTTGGAATTTCTATCATTTATATATGACTCGTGTGAAGATTTACTTATTGACGCAAACCTATTGCTAAGTTTGGCTTTTAGTCTAATCGCTATTGCTTTGAACCACAGATTATCATGCTTTAAAAAGGAATTATTGATTTATTTGAAAACCTTTAGTGTATAACATGTAACATATTGATAAGTAAATATGCATGAATTTCATGAACCAATTTTTCTGAGATAGATTAATATAATACATTCGTAGAAAACAGTGTATATCTTATTTATCTCCTATCTCCTAATACATTACATCAACCAAAGTTCCTATTTCCACAAACAGCATAAATTAGTGATATGATAGTTTAGACATGTAAAATTAGACACAAACTGACCTGAGAGTTTCTTGTCCATTTCAGTAGATAAAAGATCAACACACACAATGCTATAACTATTACTGTCATCCGTCCAAACTCATACAAGCAATATTGGATCCACATAGAGTACATCTTAGCGTGTGCACGGAGAATCAAATTGTCTGACAAAAAAGATAGAATAAGAATAAAGGCAATAAGGACTGAATTTTTTGTTTTAAGGTTTTCCTGTCTTACTAGCATTTACTAGATAAATGCCAAAAGCGGTTCTATAAAAAAATATCAGAGTTTGAGGCCCATTAGGGTAAAAAAATAGCTCATATTTTTAAATACAGAATTGCATGATACTGCATCATACCTAAACCATTACGATTTATCTGACTCGGTCTTATCTTACAACAAAAGTGTTGAAACTGTTGCATGAAAAAAATTAATTTTCATGCTTCATTTTGATGCATTTCAAATTAAATATTAACTTTTGGAGTTATCCTTCCTGGCTGGGGATCAGTTCTATATCCTTAAGCCATTTTTTACGCAATTGCATTGTCTCCATATTTTTCATTTTTCCAACCATGACAAGAAACGCCCTGTCTGTGTATGTTCTGCTCTCTTGTAATATGAGATTGATTACTGTGTGTTATCTCCATATTTCATTTCAGTAAAATTCGATAAATTTTCAAGGAAAAGAAATGTACATAAGGTTTTTTTAATTTTCCTAAGAGCTTCGTCATTACTTTAAATTTTTAGTTACGTCATATCTTACTTAACTTAGAACAGATACTTTAACTAATTGATTTAAATAAAAATATATCAAATATGTTTTGTTTCAAAATTATCAAAACAGTTACACTGCGAAATAGGGATTATGGACTATGGTCCTACTTCAGTATTACAGAGGATAGGTAGTTCTCATTGAAAAATCAAAACAGTCGACGTAGAACGACGTCAAAGAGCAGCAGATTATATTATCTTGTATAGTACTCGAAAAACCCACCTTATTCAGACTTTGGTGTGGCCCAAAAAATAATATAGAAAATACTGTAGAAACATAGCTACTATATGGTTGTTGTCCTTCATTTAAAACGTCTTATGATGAAGGTTTTTCTTGTTTGTCGGAGATCTTTTGATAGTTGATGGTACTCCAACCAACAGAACATGTATGACTGCCCCCCCCCCCCCTCCAACTGTTATTGCTTCCTACGGGCCTGAATTATATATATCATGTGTAATGGAATGGAATTAGAATTTAAGTAACTATTTCATCGAACTAGGTCTATTTCATTGAATGGAACTTTACACGTCGACAAAATAAACAGTTTTACATGTGAACATATTTTGATGCTAAATTTTATAAATATAATAAAAGTACATCGTTCGCATATTTCTTCGTATGACCATCGTATTGGTATATCGTAAAATTAAAGAGAACAAGAATATTTATTATACATGGTATTAAACCTAGATCTTAATTTTTATGGGTCATGTTAGCTGTCACATGATTGTGAGTATGAATTGACATCACTTGCTGCTTCCTGTCTGAGCATTATTTTGTAATATAAACAGGAAATATTTTTCCATGCTAATATTTTATTTACCTCTAATCCTCCCTACTTTGTTTATATTTATAAGTAAAATGAATAAATTATGGAGAATAAAACAATGGAAACGCTTTATTATTTAGTTACTTATTTTCTAAATATTTTAATAATTTTCTTTCCGTATGATTTTATTTTGTTTTTTTATTTTTACGTGCCTGTGATATCAAAATAAGATAATGCTTGACTCAATGATAAAAATTAGTTTCTCATTTTTGATTTGATTTGAACATATTTTATTATGTAAAATACATAAATGGATTGTTTTCTCATTGTTGAGGAACATGCCTTCAATGTATTTCAGTATTATTTTTCGAGCCCAATTAAACACAGACAAATCATTACATTTTTATAATGAAAACTCCTTAAGAGGGGTTTCATTACAATATGAAATATCTTCTCTTTTGGGGGGGGGGGTATTATTGCTATATATCGTTTTACTACTTAAAAGCATATTAACATTTAAAAATTAATTAAAATAAAGTAGTTTTAGTTCTTCAGGAGCAAATGCTGTCTTGAAGAAGGAGGCACGACTTTAGATGTTATATTTAATTTTATCCGTGTCGTCGGAGGCCCTAAATTCGTTACGGTCCTAGGGTCGTGACCTTTTATTTTTCTGGAATACCTTGCATGATTTTGAGTCCCCCTGCATCACATCGTTAGAAAAAAAATATTTGGATTAATTTTGTCATATTTTACAGCTCCTGAAGATGATATGGACGAAAGCAGGCAAAAGTGTATAATCAGAAACAAAATTTCCCCTTACTTAGCATAATTTCGCTATTACCGCATATATTAAAAAAGAAAATATTTGATATTTTTTTCTTACGTCCTATCTCAAGTGTATTGGTGCTACGGCACGCATTGTTTATAATAAGTCAACAGAAGTCACTTATCCGATTTGGAATTTTTGCGTCTGTGTTATGTAACTTCCGCTAAGGTCACGACCCTAGGACCTGTGTTTTAAAATGGCGTCGGGTAAACATAGGTACTTTGAACGAGATGTAAACAATCAATAAAGGCATGAATTTTTAAAAACTTTCAGTTTAATTGAAAGACAAAAGATTTACAACTAAGGTATGACTTACAAAATGAAACAGCATTTCAAATTTATTTTAAAATGGAGATTAGCTCATTAGGGTAACGACTCATGGACCTCCGAGGATATTTGAAACGTGTAGTTCTACCTACTATTGACCTAAATTTATCTCTTTATCTATTTAAATGTCTGGGTTGTTTGTCTAATCCAGGCTTCACATTAAATATGATATACACGTCCAGTGCAAACTCTTACTCAATCTAAAACATCCCTTCTCAATGGATTAATTGAGTGATTAATACGATTTTTAAATATTTTATTAAAAAATATATATTCGCCAAAGAATTTTTTTGGAACTCCAAAAACAGCTTTTATGATGATTTTTTTCAGCCATGTCTCAACCTATATTTATATACCTTTTCGTTGTTTTCGTTAAAATCAAATGAAAAAGGGGTATTCTAAATTTCCTCATCTTAAAGACATTTCCTTTCTATAATTTATATGCTCAAAAGGATACTTGGTACATTTTTGGATATTATTCAATAGTACTATTCTATGATTTTAAGAAATTTATTTGTTTTGTGCATTGGGAGCAAATTTATTTGGAAAAACTATGATGTTTTTGGTTTTATGTTATATATTTTTGCTACATAGAGACAACAAATATTTTACCATGATAAAAAAGCATATTCAGTTTAGAATTAAATTACCTGAAATCCAATTAAAACCATGAAACAATGCTTCAAAACTCTAGAAAATATACATTAACAAAATAATGATGATTTCCTTTTCTCCATTTTTTAAAATAATGTAACAAAGTCTGACCTTTATCCTGACCTCTACGCACAGCTCTTGTACATATGACGCATAAACATCTGATGAGGAAGTAGAATACGACTTGTAAACAAACGTCAAAATCAAGTTAATACCATATAAAAATCCTTGTATTAAAATGAAGCAGACCATTCTCTGAAATCATTCGAACACACCACAGTTCTTAAACATTTGTTCCGAAGAAATTCGCACTCGTAAATAATACAACTCGGCTGTGTTATCAACAGCGATTGACAGGAAGATACTGCTCACACAATGACGCAAACTTCCGTTTTTAAAGTTGCGTTTTCATTGAGAGGCATAACACTCTTTTGTATCAGAAAATTTGACAACAACCTTTTTTTAGATAAACCAAATAAACCTCACAAAATAATTATTGTAGGGCTAGCTTTTAACAATCTTTGTTAACATGTTTCGCTTTGGGGAAGACCCATCACAAGATTTTGAAGATATAAAAAAAAGTTCTGAGTTCCATTTGTTAAACAAGCGGTTATTAATATGATGTTTAAAAGCTTAATCCTTAATTTATAGAGTTTTGACCACTTCTTCTTTTTTGATTAACCTTACAAAAAAAATTATAACAACCTGTAGAGTTAGCTAGATAAGATAGATAAAACTTTGTTTATATCACCATAAAGCTAAGAAACAGACTTTTTTCAAAAAACTTTTTTCCTGTATGACAATATGTCTCTTTAATAGCATATTCATCATGAATTCATCTATCTAGTATGTATTTGTCTATCTAGATTTAAATATTGAAAATGAGACAGTTGGGGCGCTACGGACTTGTATATATGTATAAATGAATTTTTTTTATGTTACAATGTCTTTTAAATGCTAATTGGTGATAAGACATGAGGATTTTAAAATTCTCATTCAGCTCATTTCATCGAATGAATCTTTACACAGAGATTTAATGAACAGTTTTACACAGGAAAATATTTTGATACTAAATTTTATGAAAAATTTTATGAGGACATTTTCACCTATTTCTTTGTATGGTCGTTGTATTATTATTAGGACATTTTAAAAATTATAACTAGGGAACAGGGATATTTATTATCTACGGTATTTGACCTAGCTCTTAGATTTTATGGGTCATGTAAGCTGTATCGTGTATGCTTGCCTATATTGTCTTCACTTGCTGCTTCCTGTCTGTTTATTACTAGTGTGTAAAAATCAAACAAACAGGAAACTCGTCTTCATACTTATTTTATTTTCCACTTGCCCCAAATCCTACAAAACATGTTTGCTTCTTGTGTTAGAGATTTTGAATAGATTATGTAGAATGAAACAAACCATCATTTTCATCATTAAATTACTGACTGTTCTAAATATCTCAAGAAATTTCTTTCCGTATGATTTTATGTTAAAAACTTTTACGTGGTTGTGATATCAAAATAAGATAAAGCTTATTCAGTGATAGATGTTATTGTTTCTTATATTTGGGCTAAATGTTATTAATATATTTAACATGGTCAATTCAATCACTCATTACATCTATATAATGAAAATTTTGGGTGGGGTCTCAGTACCATAAAAATATCTCTTTTTGTTGTGATAATTGCTTTCTCTCTTTTCAATTTAAAAAAAACTTGACATGGTCAAATCAATGTAGATTTAAGCACTATTTTTATGGCTTCGGAGCAAATTCTTAGCTTTGATGGAGGAATTACGCTTCGAAGACGTTCTATTAAAGATCAAGAACCCATTCGAACAACTCATATACATGTAAATGAATGCTAATTTTATGGTAGACAAAAGATTTAATGTATAAATTGGCGATATTTTGACTGACATGTTCCTTAGACAATGTCTTATACAAACTTTGACTGTTGATTGATCATTAAAGAGTAATACTCGTGTGTGAAACATATGGGGATAACGAAATGTTCCATTTTATCAATACAAAATAGTAGCAGAACAAACATGGACTATGAAAAACGTCAGTCAGTATTTGACTCAATGATATATTGTGTTTCCTGACAAGAGCATTGTATCGACCATAGAACTTATAAAATGATGACTTTAAACGAATCAGCTGCAATTTTTGTTTCATCAACTTGTTCGACAATAATTTATCTCATTTTAGTAATCGTTCAAAAGTAGAGCATCCTACTGTGTATCACATGAACATTATTATTTTGTGTGATGAAGGTTTGCTGCTGTAGGTAAGGAAAGTTGGCGATAGGAAATTTAAAGCCGTTATGTATATCATATATAGAGTTTGGTTGTAAGATTGCCAATGACGTCTTTTTTCAAGTAAAATCTGAAAACTAATGTGTCAGGCTCTGTGGTATCTTTAATCTCAAGCTCAACAGGAGATATCGTATCCACCTTAGGAATGGATAATTTCATTGTTAATTGACATATCGTCGTCAATATATCTAAATGTCGAGTTGAGGTCAAAGCAAGTGTTTTCTTCTTTTCATGCATGCGATTTTTAAAATTCTGCTTCATTTAAATACAAAGTAGGTATGTTTATAACGGAGCGTAAATCATATAATAAAACATTGTAAAACATTAAAATTTAACTTCAAAGGCCTCTTAAATTAACCAAGTTGAATCTTTTTAATCGTTTAAATGTTTCAAGTACGTAGTACAGATTTTTCATTACTAGTACAAATTTTTCTGCACATGAAGTAACACTCAGAAGAAAGATAAATCCTCCTCACAGATTTGTTTTATTTTCTTACAACAACATACAGCATTGTGATATTCTGACTAAGGAAGCATAGCGTTATGATGTTTTCTAAAATGATTTAATTAGGTATGATACTTAGGATTATTTTCATATTCATCTCTTTAAAATTTAATGTTGTGAAAATAAATCGTTGCTCTTTTGTCCTCATTCTTCAAATTTCTTTATATCATTATCTGATATAAAAAGTTCTGAAAAATAAGCAGGGCTTTATACTTTAAACTATTTTCCATGTGGCTCTAATGTAAGAAATATATGGAGGATATGGAGATAACGAACATTATTCAATCTCAAAGTCCATAAAACAATACAAAATAGGCGCAGAGCAAACACTGACCCCAACATATCTGAGGTGGGATCAGTTGCCATGGAGGAATGAGCATCCCCTGCTGATGACCTGTCACACCCACAATGTGCTCTTTGTCATGGTCGTGAAAAAACGGAAAATATCCGTTGTTAATTCAGAGTATTAATAATGAACAAGCGTTAGTATTAAAAAAACGTCAGCATTTGACTTAATGATAAATTGTATTTGCTGACAAGGTCATTGTATCGACCATAGAACTTACGAAATGATGACTTTAATCGAGAGGCTGATATCCTTGTATCATAAACTTGCTTGTGAATTATTTACCTCGGTTTTGAAATTGTTCGAACATAGAATACACTCTTGATATCGAATTAACTGAGATATACACACTCCGTATGCAGGTGATGAATGTATATTGCTGCATAAGAAAGGAGAGTTGACAATAGAAAAGTTAAAATCATCACGAAAAATTGTCTTAATGTCTACACTGAAATTAAATTATAAGGAATGAAGTTATACGATATAACATAACTTGGAGCAGCTTCTATCAAATTTGAAAAGAACAACACATTTCTATCTCAAACGTTTCAAACGAAAATTAATAGTGGAAAAAAATTCTGAAATCAAATTCGATAAAAAAAAAACCTTTTATACTACATGATCATGTACACAGAAATTAATTGTTTTTACACCGGATGGTTGACCAGACGAACGGACCTCAGAATCAATTGGTGTCCTTTTTTGGGCATGGCAAGTCATCATGTGAAATTTCATTGCAAAAACTGAGAGTCCTCTCGGGAAATCGCGTGGAAACGAAAATGTTACAGACAGTAATGAAGACAGACGGATGAACGGACGGACAGACAGACAGACGGAAATTAATATCCCTCACTCTCAGCGGGGGACAACAATTCAAATGTGATGCATTTTTACCATGCATACGGCATTTATTTTTTAATACTATATCTATAATCCATTTACGTAAGACCAACTTTTCAAAGTTTTTTTCCTTACAAATGGCAATTGAATTTAATCATGTAGTTCTAATTAAATAAGTGAAACCTTTCATTGTATCATTTAATAAATTTTTAATATTATTATATGTCAGGTTCTCTGCTAAATCGCTGACCAAAAATTAAATTTCATTCAACGCTGCTATGTTTTGCTTGCATGCAAAAGGAAAACAGAGTAGAAAGCACCAAATGGTACATTTAAATTGTCTTCCTTAATGATTATGTACAATGCTTACTAAAATGTCAACTCTTAGATATTATCGGCACTTATGTCACATAAATTCCAGAGAGCTACATCTCCATTATTTGCGAGGAACAGAAAAACCTCGCTACACTCCATTTCGCTCCGGCAGAGACATCTATACACACATCTGATGATGCTAGTATTTTTCATTTCACCATCATACGTCAATTTACAAAAGTTGAAGTCACCATTAAATCCTTTCGTCGAATTCGAGACTGGAAAAGATACCTGTAAAAAAAAGATAAAATACATTTAATTCTGTATCTCTTGTTCTTTCAAAATTGAGATTTAGGAACACATTAATGTATCTTACCATTTACTCCTTATAGTAATAATTATTTAAACCTAAAGATCACCTTTAAAACCTTTTCACCATGCATTTGGCACGATATTCCTTTGCCAGTCAGAGTTATTTCGAATTCCGATGCATTAATTCCAAACCAAGATGTTTGAATTCTAGTCCAAAACAGCAGAGGAAGGTTGCCCTTGTTAGGCAGAGTCAAACAGGTGTTGTTGTCATTGTCAAATAACACGTGAAGTTGTCCAATAAGTCTTTTGTGTTGGTCGTTAAACACTTCGGGAAGTTTCAACCTTAGTTTATATTTGTTCGTCAAATTTCCTATGCTTACAAACATGATATGGTTGCTGCAAAATTTTATTTTATCAGGATCAATATATATTTCGATTGATAGATTTATCAAATGAGAAGTGTTTATTTTGGCGGAATTTATGTACTTCATGTGTACCATGGCAAAATTCTGAACCGTAGAATTTTCAGTTTTATTATACGAAACATTAAAATGAAAGCAAAATATAGTTTTATCAACACTTTTAACAGATATTTTTCTTATAACAATTGTTGCATCCCCTGTGCCGCTTTCTTCCTGTGTCCACAAACTGAAATTGAAGGACTCTGTTCTGTTTGATGGTGTATCTATCAGTAGTGTTAGAAAGGTATTACATAGAGGATTGATTTCGGGTGAGTGGCTTTCATCAAACCTTATTCTGACCATTGGCAAGTCCTGCAAAAAAATATAAAAAGTAACCACTCACACCGACACATTTATAGACGAGAAAAACTTGACAGAGAGATATACATAAGAGTATAAAATCACATATCTTAAAATGTATATTGAAATATTTCAAACTAGAAACAGTTTTACACTCAGACTGATCTTTCAAAGAAATTACAAATTTATTAGCAAAGAAAGAAAGAAATATCAAGATTGACTAGAAAATAAATAGTTATTGTACTAAAAGAAAATAGTTCTGGTATATCAGTTGAATATGTAAGATAACCGGTACTACATGTCTTGGTAACATCATGTAAAATTAAAATCATAAACAGAAGGATATGTAGATTACGAACAGTATTCAATCTCAAAGTCCATATACAATACGAAATAAGAGCAGAGCAAACATGGACCTCCGAAACATAAGAGGTGGGATCAGGTGCCATAGAGGAGTGAGCATCCCCTGCCGACCGGTCACACCCGCCGTGTGCTCCTTGTAATCATCAGTAAATAACAGAAAAAATCCGTCGTCAATTCAGTGTATTAATAATGGACTAAAACTGGTATGAAAAACGTCAGTCAGCAGATGAAACAAGCTTCCACTCATAAACTCATGATCAGAAGAAACATACATTTGTCTTTGTTGCATTTGTTCTCACAATGACGGATGTATTCAATGCCTCTGTCTCATTCAATAATATACTAATTCCAACGCTGTGAGGCATTTCTTCTACATCTGATTTGGTCTGAAACACACCGGCCTCAAACTCTATGACGTCATTTTCAGAGACGTTAGTGGAATCGTAGTAATCTAAAACAAGTAAATATAACATGTTTGTACTTGTGCCTCATATTTCTGATTAATTTTCTTATTTTTGGGAAACATTCTTTGATTTGTAGATATAGACTTGTATACATGTAATGACATTAAGTATATATAGACCTTCCAAGCCTCTTAGATACATGAATGCGAGCTTCGAGAGAAAAAGGATGATTTTTTTTATAATAGAATTTATTTCCAAACTAGAGCCTCATGAGGCATAACATATAACAACAAGAAAACATTGATGTAACTATCAATTGTCATCCGGGAAATAAATAAAGTAAACAATGGAAATGAGTTTTGATCATCAGACATTTATTATGCTTGAATGTGCACAGGGTACGGTCCTACGGCGCATGATCAATCAACAAGGGTTTTATAAGAGAATACACGAGTATCATTCTCGAAATGGAAGTATTCAATAGATAAGATTCGGGTAAAATTATCGTATTTTTAATTCACTATCTATTATTTCGTTTTTTTTGGAAAATATCAAGGTATGTTCAGTTTGCTTTAGATGTAAATAATGACACCTTTAAATACTTTAAATGAATGCAGAAGAAAAAAATAATGTATAACTAGAGCAAAGCTCGTTGCAAAGCAACGAGTAGGTCTTCCGTCCTGTTTTGACCGGAAGTGACGTCAACAAATGAAAGCAAATGAGCTTAGTGGTCTCCATTGACTTTATAATTTTGATTTTGCATTTAAACCTTAAAAATTAAGCTATTTTTGGCTACTTCCGGTCTCTTCCGGTTTGACCAGAAGTGATGCAAACCGGAAGTGATGTCAACGGACAGAAAATTAAGTTTTATGCTTCCAGATATATATGTTACCCAAAAATATGTCAAGAACGGCAAAAATATGCATATTTTGACGACTTCCGGTATGACCGGAAGTGTCGTCACCGGACGCATTTTGACAACTCCAATAGATTAAGCTTGACATTTTGAACAACTTTGCTTTTAAAATGTATTACAAATTCTCAATACTTTTTGAGATATAAATGAAAAACTTTTGGCCCCTCTAGTCCCTTTATTTTAGGGGCCAGCCCTTTTTTCGAGATATCATTTGAAAGATCATGTAATTCTACACTTCTTTTGTTCTATATGTCTTAACAAAATATTTGTTTGTGAAAAGATATCGAAGAAAAGGTGTTAGAAATTTTAAAATTCTCGACATGCCCTTTTTTGGACCATAGCGAGCGTCGGCGTGCAGCACTTCCGGTAAAAATGAAATGCATATGTCACATCTACAGACATTGCTCTATCATTGCTCAAAAACTCAAGTTTCTATCTTATGCCGTTTTTGAGAAAACTCGCGGACAAACTGACCCCTGAAAATCACTAAATCGCAAAAATCTCAAAACCGGAAGTGACGTCATCAAAATAAAAAATTATATATCAGCTTTGTTTGATGTTCTATCAGTCCTGAAAGTTTCATGAAAATCGAGTGAGCCGTTTCTGAGAAATCGTGTACACAAAATCGGTAAGAAAAAAACCCAATAAAAATAATAAAACTAGAGCCGAGCTCGTTGCAAAGCAACGAGTAGGTCTTCCGTCCTGTTTGACCGGAAGTAACTTTCATTTAAAAAAAAAAGAGAAATGAAGTCCAAAAATGGTTTAACCCTCCAAATTTATGTTAATTATATCAAAATTAAGCCTTTTTTGGCAACTTCCGGTTTGACCGGAAGTACTGTCGACGGACGGAAAATTAAGATTTAAGCTTCCAGTGACAAAAAATATTCAAAAACCTGTCAAGAACAGCAAAAATATGCAATTTTTGACTACTTCCGGTTTGACCGGAAGTGACGGTGCTGGACGTATTTTGACGATCCCATTAGATAGAGCTCGACATTTTGAACAACTTTGCTTCTTTGACGTATTACAAATTCTCAATACTTTTTGAGATATATAGAAAATACTTTTGGCCCCTCTAGGCCCTTAATCTTAGGGGCCAGCCCTTTCTCCGAGATATCATTTTAAAGATCTTGTAATTCTACACTTCTTTTGTTCTACATGTCTTAACAAAATATTTTTAGGTAAAAAGTTATCTTTGAAAAGATGTCAAAATTTTGGAAATTCTTCATAGGACTTTTTTCGCGCCATAGCGAGCTTCGGCGCTTCGTATTTCCGGTAGATAAAATATTAAATATGCTCAATTCACTTCTCCAAAGGTTGCTCTATCATCACTGAAAATTTCATACTTCTATCTTCAACAGTTTTTTAGAACATTGCCGGACAAAGTGACCCTCTAAAAATGACAAAATCGCGAAAATCTCCGAACCGGAAGTGACGTCATCAAAATAAAAAATTTATTCCTAGATTTTTTGATGTTCTATCAGACCTGAAAGTTTCATGAAAATCCATCCAGCCGTTTCCGAGAACTAGCGTGCACAAAATCGGTAAGAAAAAAAATAATCATAAGAAAAATAGTGGAAAAGAAACCTAAGAAAAACAATAAGGTCTTCCGCTGAAGACGGAAGACCTTAAATAGTGGAAAAGAAACCTAAGAATAACAAGAAGGTCTTCCGCTGAAGACGAAAGACCTTAAAAATATCACCAGATCAGTGGTATAGAAGTGAAATGTGAGTTTTCCTAGCGAATCCTTTTTGATTGAGTCCCCAGCTAGAACAAATAGCTATGGGAATTGCAAAAGATGCTGTCACTGTTGACTGGCAATATATATCAAAGCTTATTCGTTGAATGATACTAAGAATACTGTCCATAACTGAGTAATATGTATGTATGTGCAAGACTGGTTCCTTTATTGTTTAATGAAGAATAAAGGGAAACTCATGTATGTACATCAATGAAATCCTTAAATTTGAGTGGGACTTCTTATCTAAGATCAATTTGGGAAAGAGGAAACGTGATGCTGCTTTAGAAACTTTAACGTTATCATTTATGCACCCTAGGTCGATATAACACGCAGAACATAAAATTCTATATCTTGTTTATTTCATAGGCGCTTGGGGTATGGACCCCCCCCCTTTCCAATTTTTTTTCTTTTTAAATCTGGGGTCGAGTCACCTTTTCCCTATTTTTCTATTCTAATATGCACTATATGTTATCAATAATGTAACTCTTTTGTCTCTACAAGCTGTTTTTAAATATGTCGTTTTCGACTGATACATATAAAGAGAGAAGGCTTGCAACTCTTCTCGTCATCCGCCTCACCTCGCTTAAACTTCGCTCGATTATTTATCTAAAGCTGTATAAAATATGGGATATGCACACATTAATAAATTTGTTATTCATTCCTCTTCCTTTTCATATTTCTATTTAATTTTTATATGCCCCCGGTTTGTAAATATTTCGATGAAATCACCCGCATCTAGGATAAATTTGTTGATGTGCACCAACCGGGACGGAAGTACCAAAGAACGATAACTCTAACTTTACAAATGTTCTGCATAAAAAAAATTCAGGATTTGTAATAACAATATTGTGATATTTGGTTGATTATATCGTAGGTTAAAAGTGAATCTATATCCATCAGAATCTACTAGTTACAGCTTTCTAGTGATATATCGAACTTACCGTTACATGTAACATGAAGAGAAAATTCGGGATTTATTCCCTCTCGAATTTAATGTTCCGAATAACATATTACACATTATGATGACGCCCGAAAATACAGGGTACTTCCGTCCCAGTCAATGCATATCACCCTAGATGCGGGTGATTTCATCGAAATATTTACAAATAGGGGCACATAAAAATTAAATGGAAATATGAAAAGGAAGAGGAATGAATAACAAATTTATTAATGTGTGCATATCCCATATTTTATACAGCTTTAGATAAATAATCGAGCGAAGTTTAAGCGAGGTGAGGCGGATACGAGAAAAGAGTTGCAAGCCTTCTCTCTTTATATGTATCAGTCGAAAACGACATATTTAAAAACAGCTTGTAGAGACAAAAGAGTTACATTATTGATAACATATAGTGCATATTAGAATAGAAAAATAGGGAAAAGGTGACTCGACCCCAGATTTAAAAAGAAAAAAAAATGAAAAGGGGGGGGGGGTCCATACCCCAAGCGCCTATGGTTTATTTATACATATATCTATATGAAATTTATGTGTATTAATAAAAAAAATGTACTAAAGAATAGAAACAATTTTAGAACGCATTGATGATTATTTTTCATGCCAGACATTTGTTCACGATTTTACCGGATAACCCTTGTAAATAGATATAAAATCATCAGTATGATATACCTCTGTTGACCCAGTGTGGAGGGAATTCAAGTTGCAATGACTCCTTTTCAATACATCCTGTTACATTGAGAAAACTGATGTTTCCAAATGTCTGAAAAGTATACAAAAGTACTGTAGACTTCTCATTTTTGCGAATACTTTTTATCGCAAAAGACTCTTTATCGGCAAATTGCGAGAAAAACAATTCGTGAATGGACTGTTGATGGAGATTTTATACAGATTTCAGCATGTAAAAAGAAAAGTGAGTAATTTTATTTCGCAAGGACGTTCTTGCAAAATTACACCATAATTTACTCCACAAATATTTAATAGGAATCTTCAGTATGCTAAATAAATGTTTTCATCACAGCCATGTAATGAATGTATAAATAAACACATACATATTTTTTTATATAATATAAGAAATATTTATAATACAGTGGACCTTCAGATATCCGGACGCCAGATATCCGGATGCTTCAGTATCCGGACGATTTTTCATCGGAACGAAATTTTAAAATGTTATTGTGTCTTGTTTATCTGGTGATTCAGATATCCGGATGCTTCACATATCCGGACAAATTGACTGGGAACCAAAGCGTCCGGATAAATGAGGGTCCACTGTATATACTTTTACTTTTTTATCTTATTAAGGTCTTCCGTCTTCACGGAAGACCTTATAGTGATTCTATTGTTTCTTATTATTATTATTATTCTTATTTTTTTGACTTTCTAATTTTGT